GAAGAGCAGGGCCCTGAGGAAAGCACCTGGCATCCTATAGGCAAACCATTGTTTCTAAAAGAAAGGACTGAGAGATTAAAGAGCTCAGGGCATTGCCAAATGAACAAGGCAAGCACGTCTATTCCGTACCAAACGAAGGGGAAATGGCCCTTCCAAATAATTGACCTGTAAAACGGCCTTTTCACAAGAGTACCATAATTACTGGCCAACTGCAACAATGAAAAACAACTCCCAAACCAAGAAATATTTCTGGACTGAAAGCCATGAGATCTGGGTTCTAACAAGCTGTGCTCCACAAACTACAAGCTCTGGCTCTGCACGAACAAGCTAGGAGCCTCAAACTGGTGATGGGCATGTCTGGGTCCCTGTCTCCTTCTTGGACCCTTAAAGACCCTTTTCCACACCCTGATTCTCTTACTAGCACATGTGCTTTACTTCTGACTTCTCGTGCTGATCATCTGAGCAGTAGTAAGAAGCAATTTCAAATGAAAACATCATTTATCATCTGCTGAAAAAAACCAGCTCCCACCAAAAAAAAAAAACCGTGGGAAAATGAAAAGACAATGAAAGGGAATGAAAATGTAATTCATTTTATTAAAAGGGACAATTGTTCTTCTGGGACACTGGGTAGAAATCTTGATGAGTTACCTAGCCATCATAAATCCTCTAACAAAGAAGGGAAGAGAAAGAAAGAAAAGAGGGAAGAAGGCAGGATAAAAGAAAGAAAAAAAGGAAGGGAAAAATGAAGGAAGGAGGTTATCTATTCATTTCTACAGAGACTTTGTTGAGCATTAGACAACAAGACTTGGGAAAATTTTAACTGAAACTTTTCCAAAAATCCTTTCAGAAGGATTTTTTCCCCCTGAAAAGCATCATTAAGAGCTGTTAAATACCCAAGGCAAACCTCTTTCATATTACTTACTGGACATGAAACACTAACGCAATTGAGGCTATCCAGAGGCCATTTAGAAATTCAATGATTATTCAACCCAAGGGGCTTTCCAAATGGTGAATTAGCTTCTTAAAAGGAAATTAATATTGAGCAGTATATCAAACCTAATTGGAATATTGAGAAAATAGTCCTGTGTAGGTAGAACAGCTAGAGGCTAAAGAAGATCAGGTTGGATGATACCTTCACTTTTGTCTTTTGCCTTAATTATGATGTAAAATGAAAAATCTTGTTTATTTTCTATGCCAGGAGAGCAGGGTGTGGTTTGGAGAGCTTCCAAGTTTATCAAAAGCTACCTTCAGTCTGGAGCAGAAACATTTACTTCCTTCATTTCTTTCCCACAGACATTCAAAGAGAGCTAAGGAGATACAAAAGACGTTTTTTCCTGTATTTGCAATGCAAGGCAGTTGGGAATTAATGACTGATTTGTTGGTGAGGGCAATGGGCATTGATCACAAAAGCCGTAAAGCTGTGTTTCTCAAAGAGAGAACGTCTATTTGAGATTTTCACTATTTTCCTATTTAGAGGAGAAAGGAGCGTTATATCATATTGGAAGCACCCATGAGTCACTAGCCTCTTCTCTTTCTGTGTCTTTCTGTGTTAATTGCTTTGAAAGCACAACATCCCAAAACCATTGAGCACACAGTGGTCTGATTTTTCTATTTGTGAAAAATGCTAAAGTCTCACTCTAGATTAATTTGGAAGTTCAGGGTATGGGCTTGTAGATGTGACTCTGTTAGACTTTGGTTCTCCTGGCAACTAACCTTTTTGGATCGTATCTAACTTGACCTGTTTCATCGTGAGAGAACTCCTCTCCATTACTCAGAACACTGAGGCAGATCACAAGTGTACCTCATCTGGCTTATGTTAAGCCAGAGCAGAAACAGCAGGCTCATCTCTTGAGAAGGGTCACTTATTAAAGACACAAACTCTTTTTTTTTTTTTTTTTTGAGATGGATTCTCACCGTTGCCCAGGTTGGAGTGCAGTGGTGCAATCATAGCTCACTGCAGCCTCAACCGCATGGGTATTTGGGTATTTTTAAATAAGAAAAAAAATACCATCTGATAGAGACATATGAAGGAGCACTGGGTCACTATAAACAAAACAGATCCTAAGAGTAGGAGGAAAGAGTATAGTTTCTTTTCAATACATTTTTTTTAACTGAGGAAAGAACATTCACTTTATTCCTATAGACCAGAAGGCAGATAATTGTCCTTTATGATTCCAAACCACACTATCTTGTTCAGCTGTCACTGAAACAACTTTGAACACTGTCATACATTCTTCCCAGCTCCCGAACTCTGACCTTTCTATGCCTTAGTTCCACTTTCACAAAATGGGATTGATGTAATATGCATTTCAGAGGAAATGACTATAGACATTTAGTGTCATTATAAATGTTGAGAAGTATGCTAGCAGAAAATATGCCTTAAGATCCTACATGGATTCCTGTATGGTTTGAAATTGCTTAAAAGATATATGTGGTCTCTAAAATATACGTGTGTGTGTGTGTGTGTGTGTGTATATATATCTATCTTCTTATATGTCTATATATATATTTATATATTTACAAACCTATATATATCATATATATAAATTTGCTATTATTTGAGTTGCCAATACCTCAATGCTTAGGGGAAGTCATGCACATTTGTTTCTTTTCAGTACCCAGATTTCATTAACATAAATTCGGTTATCACAGAAGCTCCCATAAGCATTGAGACAATTTGTCTATCCCTGTGACTATTTAGGGTTTTGAAAACAAAATAGAAGCAGGTAGGCCGGGCGCGGTGGCTCACGCCTGTAATCCCAGCACTTTGGGAGGCCGAGGCGGGTGGATCACGAGGTCAAGAGATCGAGACCATCCTGGTCAGCATGGTGAAACTCCGTCTCTACTAAAAATACAAAAATTCAGCTGGGCATGGTGGCATGTGCCTGTAATCCCAGCTACTCAGGAGGCTGAGGCAGGAGAATTGCCTGAACCCGGGAGGCGGAGGTTGCCGTGAGCGGAGATCGCGCCATTGCACTCCAGCCTGGGTAACAAGAGCGAAACTCCCGTCTCAAAAAAAAAAAAAAAAAAAAAAAAGAAGCAGGTAAGGAGGAAGTATGCTTTACTATTGAAGATTTATTAGGTACTTGTTTAGATTTGTGAACTCACATTACTTAGGATGAAAGGAAGGACTCTTGAGGATGTCTGTTGTTCGTTAGTAAACTGCCTGTAACAATTGCAATTAGCACACATGAGCACAATGAACTGGGTAGTCAGACTCATCCAAAACGAATAGAAATAGCCTCTCACCAAATTTACTTTGAGTAGTCCTTGAACTCTGAGCACTGCTGCCCAGAGCAATATGACTGGAGGTCCAAGCTTGTCAATGACTATGCAAATATGCTTTCTTCACTTTTACTCTATTGTTATCTGTCTATTATGATGTTGCTATGGTGACACCTTCCCAATATCCCTGTGTTCCTTTGGTATCCTCTAAGGGGAAGCTGTAATGAAGTGGTTTGGCAAAAAAATCCTTTTGGAATTTTTTTTCATATACTACTGAAGACCAGCATGACTTTTTTCTTATGGGGAATATATAAAGCGTGAGTTGGAAATGATGGAAATTAATCTGTACTGATTTGGACAAGGAATGTGAATGTTATTCATTCTATACCAAGCTATCTGAAAATATTCTCTTTCTGTCCCTAATTCCAAAAGATAACAAATAACATCTTAAGGGACACTGAAGCCTGTGTGTGTGAGTATAACACCTGCTGGGGTCTCTTAAACTCATGAGGGAGGGGCTACACGTGGGTGGCATGAGAACTATATGCTGGAAAGAACCATAGGTGGTGACCTTGGAACACTTACCCTGTGACAGCTATTATGCTAAGCATGTTGTATGCATTCCTTCATTGAATGACAGCTACCTATATTATCCTCATTTTATAAGATGAGGTAACAGAGATTCAGAAAGGTTAGACTCAGCTACCATGGCTCTGTCTGACTCTAAAGTTCATCCTGTTAAAAACCGGGGCACTCTGGAAATGAGATTCCTTGGTGATGAATGGAAATATTGCTTATTGGCTGTGTTTTTGTATCTGGCAATTTTCTCATATTTGAGTCTGATATTCACAATCGATATCTTTATATTACACAAATGACATAGAATTAGAGTCATTTCATCCAGGGTTAATATCATTAAGCCATGACTATGAAACGTTTCTTACAATATCTGAGATGACTTGATATGGCAAAAAATGTATGTGATTTTAGGTCTCGTTTGGTAGTTGGCTGCAGAAACCTCTTTTAGAAGAGGGATGCTTTCTCTTTGTATCCTAATTTCTACTTAATATAGTTCCATATCTCTTTGAAGGGTGTCCTAAGAATGCTGGAATGCAGTACTTTGTCATTCGATATACGTTAAGATGTGATCATATGGGGAATAGAAAAATGTGAGCGATCCCATTATTTTTCTACAGAAGGCAGGAAGCTCATGTTTGATAACTCTTACTATAAACTGAAAAACGTTTTGTGTGTAGTTTACCCATAACCATCACCCTGCAAGGTAGATATTGCTCCCCACCAATTTATGGAGAATACTGAGGCTTTAAGGTTGTAGATAGACCAAGAGCACACAAATAGAGAGTGGCAGGCTGTGGGTTGGGCTTTAAAATCCATGTTCGTCCGGGACTCCCAGTGTGTTCTAGTAAACATGCTAGAATTTGAGTATTTTCCAATGATTAATGCTCTGCTCTATGTCAGATAGTTCATGGTATTTTTCAAGAATCAGAAAATCCGGAAGAAGGCAGACCGTTTCCCACTCTGTAGGTGCCTTGGAAATGGCCGTTGCGGACGCAGAGCGCATCCTTTCTGATCCGACGCCTTCTTCTCTGCCCTGGCCCGAGGGCCAGTGTCTTTTCCGCAAGGCTCGGAGCCCCCTTAGACCGGTCATTTCCCATGTCTTTCCGAAGGGAAGATGATCCCGAAGACGACCTTGCTCCCAACGGAGCTGCCATTCCGCAGGCGGCCGCCAGGGGTCCCCGCTCGGCGACCCCGCGAGACAGTCGAGCGCCGGCCGGCTGCGCGGCGCGCTGGGTGCCTGTGGGGGCTGCTCCGGAGCGGCGGCGGCTGAGCTGGAGCCAGGCGCTCGCCCGTCCGCCGGTTGGCTCGCTGGGACCGCGCGCACCGGCCGCAGAGTCCCTCGCGTGGACTGGCAAGCGACGCCCCACCTGCCCCGAGCTCACCCTTGTCCTCTCGCGCTGGCTGCCGCTGACCCGGCGAAGGGAGCCGACCGGGCCCTGGGCTGGCGGTAAAACGCCACGGTGAGTAAGAACCCGCTCCGAGCGAGGGGAGGCGGCGCAGCCCGGTGGCTGCTCGCTCGAGATCTCCGCCAGGCGGGCAGCAGTGCGGGGCGCACCTGGGCGCGGGTGCGGGAGGGTGCGGGCGGCGGCGGACCTGTCCCCTGCCGGCCGGCCGCGGGCTTCCGGGGCTGGAGTCCGCTTCAGACCCCTGCGGGCGCCCGGGCTTCGGGCCGGCTCCTCGTGCGCACTTCCCGGCAGGAACCCGGGTCGCCCACTTTCCACCCCGGGATCCGTGGCCTTGATTCGAAAACATATAAATCAATAAGATCGTCCTCCTTTCGGGGTGCGTCTGTCTCCGAGCCCAGCCCGAGCCACTGGCGCCTGCGGGGTGCTTGTTGGACTGTGGAGTGGCGGGAAGACAAACTTTACAAAACTGCGCCCGGGCTGGGAGACCACGCTTGGGCGTCCTGATCCTGAGGGAGGAGGCTCGGCTCCGGGCAGCGTCGGGAAACTCCGCGCGGTCAGCCGGGTCGCCCCCGGGGCTGATGATGCCTCATGGGGGTGGGGAGCGTAGAAAGGTCGTACAAATCGCGCTTAACTTTGGGGCCAACAACTGTCAAACATGTGGAATCCCAGCCCCTCCCTTTCCTTGAACTCGGGAAGAAGGTGAAAACCCTTCAACTTTGCTTTGATTGCCCCTTCCCACCTTCAGACCACTGCAGGGAGGGTAAAGCGCAGACCCCTGGCGCCTGGCAAGTAACAGAGACCCTAAATCTCTCGGGAGCCCCCTCGCCCTCTTTCCCGACCCTCTCCACTGACCCTCCCCGCAGGGACCTTGCGGCGCTGCCGACTGGGATCGTGGCAAATGGCCTTTTGTTTCTCCGCGTTTCCCCTATTGTTTGCCTTTCCAACATCTGGTGGAGCTTGGGGAGAGAAGGCAGCCCCTCTGGTCCCCCTCCTCGGCCCTCACGCCAGCTCCAGCAGGGGATCCCAGCTGGGGAAGCGGAGGAGCCTGACCCCAGCGAGGCCGCTCCACCCAGTCCTTGCGGTTAGAGGGTGGAGGGAAAGTTGTTTCTTCCCCGCCTCCGCGGCTGCCTGTGGCCCGGGGCGCATTTCTCAGATCTCAGCCCAGGCGCGCCGCAAAGGGCGCAAATCCGAGAAGGGTGCTGCTTTCGAGACAGTGGTAGCGGGTTCCGCCCCAATCCAGAGTGTCTTGTGGTTGGTTCCAGAGGATTTCAATCTCTGGCTAAAGGCGTTGGGGTTGGGCCGCTGCCAGGGCAGTGGGAGGGGATCAGGGCACCTCTGGTAGGCGGAAAGCCGAGATTCTGGGGTCCTTGAAGTTTCCAAGGGCTGGAGGGCCGGCTAGTCGCCAAAAAGAGAACCTAGATGCAAATAATGAGGAAGCCTCATGACGTTGCCGGGAAATAGTGGTGTGGTGGCTCACTGCGGAATGAACGTGGAGTTCTGGCTTTGAGTGCCACTAGAAGTTTAAATCCCAAGTCCCCCTCCTGCATTGTAGAAAAAGAGGACTAAGGACACAACGCAGATATGGCCAGAGCACTGTTCCCCGCTTCCAGGTCCCAGCGAACAAGTGGCTTAGGATGGCCCCGAGTGCCCCTGTGCGTGCGCCTGTTGGGTTGCAGGCGGCCCTGTTTCCCTGCGCAAGTTAGATGCTTACATGTTGTGTTCATTCTTAGTGAGTGTGGATTATTGATTAAAGAACTAGGGCAAAAGCAGTGTAGCCATTCGAGAAGGCAGGGTCCCCAGATGGTGCCCAGCGACTTGTGTTGCCTCTGAGGTGAGGCCAACTGAGACTGTGCACCTGTTGGAACCTATACCTCCCCATAGCCTTCCAGTTTACCTGCTGTTGCCGGCTTTTCCCGTGGGATCCCCAGACGGTCCCTCTTCACGGAAGCTCAATTACACTTTTCATTCCTCTTCAACCCAGGGGAAAAAAGGGGCTTATGTGGAACACTTATGATCTATGTACCCACTCAGACGTTGTCAGTGGATACCAGGTGCTTGGTCTGCACAGTTCTGAGAGTTTTCCCTTTGCCAACTTAACAGAGCTTGTGCGTTTCCATTTAACAAAAAAGAAGCGAGACTGCTAAGCCGGGAATGTGATACACAGAGCACTTTCTCTAGTGATTTCTGGATATTATGTCTTTTTACCTTACCAACGGTGGAACCAGCAACAGAAAACAACATTTTTAAAGTACTGAAAGGCACTTTACAAGAATTTCATTATGAAAATTATCCCCAAGGAAGGGTTCCTTTGAAATTTAGGAACAGCAGCAACCCAGAAGCAACAAAAATGACCAAAGTTACTCAAGAAGTACCCAAAGGCATCACTGGTCTACCCCACTAAGAAAAACAGGGCAATGATAGTGGAAGCTAAGCTTGCACCATTTCTGTTAGAATTAAAAGCTTCCCCCCCAAAAAACCATTCTGGGAAAAATAAAAAATATTGATAGGTGAAAATGAATATAAAAGGGGGAGATGCTATAAACAAGGTTCCAGTGAACAATCTTACCTCCTTGGAATAAATTTCTGAAGACATGATACCTAGGTCACAGGGGTTGATGCCTTCTCTGGGATATTGGAGCTTGCTGTATTTCCCTATAGAAAAAGTCCCAGTTTACTTTCTCCACAGTTATGCACAAAGGCTCCTGTGTCCTCTACCTTACACCCCACTCACATTTGATATTATAATTCTTTTTCATTTCTGCCATACTGATGGAAGGGGAGTAGTTTGTCATCATATTTGCATTTAAAAAATCAAGTTGGATTAAACATTTTTCATATTGCCTGTAGTATTTCTTCCTTTGTGATGAAATACTTTTGTGTCAGTTTGTGTCCTTGCCTTTCTTTCCAGTGGAGATGTTATCCTTTTTCTTTTGATTAGATGTGTTCTTTATAAAAGCATACTGTTTTTTACCCCTGCCACACAACCAGAAAATCTATATTGACTGGAAGTGCACAGCTTTCTCAGCCATTCTCTTTTCTCCTGCATAGAAAACACTTGGCAGGACTGCCACCATAAATGACTAAAGTAATTGACATCATTCCAGTAAAGTTAATACAACAGGCAAAGGCTTTATTAGAGAAATTCATGAAAAGTACCAAGGGTATATTTTCTGCTAAGTAGCTTACGTGTCCCAACTCCTTTACAAGCTTGTGGTACTATTTTTAATTTGGAACACCTCTGCTGATAGCTGTTTTTACTAAGTGGTTTGCACTAACTCATTTTATTGTCTGATCCTTCTGCTGATAGCCTGCATACACCATGATTCACAATTTGTTCCTGTTCTTTTGAACATTTCTTCTAACTTCTTGACTGAAATTTGCCTCACTTTTATCATAAGACTTTTGGCTATACCATTTGAGCCCTGCACTTAGAATCATCGTGAATCTGAACAGTTCGGCAGCATGCTCTTTATGGCAGGAGCAGGAAATGGCTTCCAAAGGCAGAACCAGGTACCTTTCACCCTTTTTTGTGCATTTGCATAGCCACAGTCTCTGTTAATTCTTGCTTGAAGGTAGATGGCTCTGAAATGGGGTAGAGGAGAGAAAGGAAGAGAAAATCCATCTGAGCTAGGTGGTGAATTAATACAATGAAGGGCCATACAAGAAAAGTAAATAATCTAGGTAATCTGGCTGCGAAATAACTTTTAAAAAGATAGAAGATATTAAAGTATCATGTGTTATTGGAATAGCTAGTTAAATTAACTCACAGAATGTAGTCTTCTAACTAGGAAAATCTAATGTAAAATTGTTCCATATTATGACTCTGGACATTTTATTTCAGGCACATAAAAAACAGTGAAAGACAGATGCTGTACTATATACTTTTCTGCAGCATTTTCCATGCCTGTAGATGCAGGCATCAAACAATGTACATCAGGAGTGAAGAGTGTGCTGCATTAGAATCATGGGCTCTCAAAGGTTAAATGAGAGCTTAATGGTCATCTAATTGAACCATTCCTCCAATTTCACTATGGATCTTCACTCTGTTAAAATAATGAAATACCATTCTACAAACAGCATCAATTAAAACAAACTGAGCTGAGAAGCAAATGGGCCAGAAATGTCAACCTTTTTTCTCTGAGCAGGAGGGGAGAAAAGCAAAGGTATGGACTCTAGGGAGCATGTATAAGCTCTTTTACTGTGCTGAATTTTCAAAGGATAAACAACACTGACAGCAAAACAGTTAAGTCATTCAAATGTTACCATTTTGCAACATTCTCTGCTCCCTATCCTCTAGCCTTTGTCTTGGTGAAGTTCACAGGTGGTACAGCAAAGCTCTTTCAAAATGGCCAAAGAAAAGAGGAAGAGAGAATAGAAGATGGAAAGGAAATCTTATTCCTTTAAACCTGTCTTAAAAACTTTCTAACAAGACTCTTGGTCACCAGGAGAATGGTTGGAATTACCTCTCCTTAGAGAAGTGAATGTCCCTTATGTTCCCAGGCCACCAATCCAACTGAGGACAGGCTTGCGGAATAGCACAATAATCCTTAGAAGATGGAGGAAGAGAAGGAGAAAGGGATTTCGGAGGGAACAGGAATTTCAATTCCCAAAATATACCTTATTTACTCCTGAGTAGAGCTGCGAATTTGTAAAAGTAGTACAAACACCTTCTGATTTCCACTCGGACAATCTCCCAGGCACAGTCACTGTATTTCTTTTCTTTCAGGAAATTGTCTATCCTGTTGAAATATCTCCTCAGTTCCAGGTTGCTCGGGTGGGGGACCCTGGCTTCTGAGGGTTTCATCTCATCCACTTTCATTTCTTTCATGATTTCATTTTCATTCTCTCCTTCCTCCAAGCATTGGTTCAGATACTCTGCTTGCTGATCAAGTCCTATTTGGATTTGTTTGAGGTGTTTCTCTTTCCAAGTGGATTTGAAGGTGTGTTGGCTGAAGATGTTGAAGGCCTGTAGGGACATTTCGTGGAAGGCCTTCCTCATGTCCCTCTTCATAGGCTGGGTATATTGTAGGAACTCTTGGGGCAACTCAAAAGCTACGTTTTCTCGTAGACATTCTATAGGAAATGAGTTACTCATACTGAGAAGTCTCAGGTTTCGCCAGGTGACTCTTCTCAGGTGAACATTCAGTAAGTTACAGTCCAGAGACAGAGTGCCAGCAATGAACAGACCCACAAGGAACTCAAGCCACAAACACTTTTGAATCATATCAGGTTTGGTGCTCATTTTTTTTTTCAAGCTAAAAAATGCAGAAGATGTAGATTTGGCAATGATATTTGAAGTATTCCTTCCTTTATATATGTGAGTGTCTTCAGCAGGAGGAGTTTTCTCATTCGTCATTTTATAGTTACCAAGGTTGACGGCCCCTTTCCTTTGCCTCTGAGGCTTATTTTTTTTTTTTCTTTTTTTTTTACTTTGGGTGACTATGCTGAGTTTGAAAGTCATAACATTTTTTTTTTTTTTTTAATGAGCAAAGTGTTATTGTGTTACCTTACATGGCTGGATGATCCATCCCAGCACTAAGGAATCATCATAATAAGACTGATGCAGGGAATTTCAGAAAGCCAAAAGCTGTGAGTGTATACACTCACTCACTCACTCACTCATCCAACTCTATTGCATATGAGGGAGTGAGCCTTCATGAAAATATATTTTTTGTACCTGGCGTTATAGCTAAACATCCGCTCTCATTGAGCTAACCATAGACATTGACCAAATGCCTTTGATTATTTGATTGCTAAGTCACCAGAGCCCAATATAATTTAGGTTTTTCTGATTTTGTTAAAGTACACTTCTATATTTGGATATTTTCTCTTTTTTGTTTGATTTTTCTGGATCCTCAGAAAGTTGAAGAATAAAGTTGGTCAATTTAGCATGGCACTTACTAAGTAGAAGACTAAGCTGGCTTGGTTTTCTGTTGCATTAGAAAATGTTGATATTCTCTAAATATCCTTTTCTTCAGTTAAATCCATCCTGGACTTGGCCTTCCATATGCCTCTGATATCTTCCTTAAAAGTCCTGGAGTGGGCTTTATATTTGAGAATATCTTTCTGACTCATTAATTTCTCTCTTGTAGTATCATTTTTTTTAAAGGTAGTATTTTAAAATTTTTGCTTAATTATTATTTCTTCTTGCCTGGTGATTCTGGATTCTGTAAAGGCTTTTGTTTGCTCCTATGTTTGTTGTGCATTGAGGAGGTATGTGAGTAGGAGGTCACTCATTTAACCAAGCTGATTCCTAGCTGGACCAATGTTACTGTGGTAATGATGGCTATCCATCATTTATGGTTTTTACTTTGTTTGACCAAATAACTTTCCTCTGAGTATGGTTAAGACAAATGGATTATTTTCTCCAGTAAATTAAAATGGGTTGTCATTAAACAAAGCTAGCTTATTATATCCTCTTTAAAAAAAAGATATACATAAATTTGCAATTAAGCCATTGTAGAATGATAAATAACCACAGTTCCACAAACATGGCAGACTGAAAAGCTGGCTTAAAAAGCTCTTGTCTAGGCCGGGCGCAGTGGCTCATGCCTGTAATCCCAACACTTTGGGAGGCCGAGGTGGGTGGATCACAAGGTCAAGAGATTGAGACCATCCTGGCCAACATGATGAAACCCCATGTCTACTAAAAATACAAAAATTAGCTGGGTGTGGTGGCACGTGTCTGTAGTCCCAGCTACGTGGGAGACAGAGGCAGGAGAATTGCTTGAATCCGGGAGGCAGAGGTTGCAGTGAGCCGAGATCGTACCACTGCACTCCAGCCTGGCGACAGAGCAAGACTCTGACTCACCAAAAAAAAAAAAAAAAAAAGTTCCTGTCTAAATCAGTTGGCTGCACCAAAGGCTAATTGTTGGTAAGTGGGATTTCTTAAAATCCTGGCTTTTGGGAGAGGTTTCCTGTGGAAAAAAGAAATTATATATGTTACTCTATATACTCTATCTACATAAATTCTGATTTCATGGACAGATTTCTTGGGGTGACCAAATTTGAAGACTATTAAGAAAACAAGCCCTTTTATATAGCATTGTAAATTGACACACGCTTCCTAGAGAGGAAAATGGTAATATGGATCAAAAGCCTTAAAAATGTACATAATATTGGACTCAGCAATTCTCCCTCTAGGAATTGATTCCCCAGAAATAATTATGATGCCCTTACAGACTTAGCTGTAAGGAAGTTTGTCACACAAAAATGGAAAACAATCTTAATGTTCGGCAATAAACAGTTAAGTAAGCCATCAGTAGAAAACATATGTGCAAGCAGTAAAAATCATGTGTGAGAATATATTTGGTCACTTAGATAAATTTGTAGCTTAAAAAACAAGCTTATATTTGTATATAGAGGCTGATACCACTTTTGTTAAATGTAGACATATGTATATACGTACAGAAAGAAATCTTGATATATATATGCAAAAATTTTGAGTCATTATCTCTAACTGGAAGAATAATGGGTGGTTTTTAATTTTATATTTCTACTTACCTAGACTTTTTAAGTTTTCTATGGTCAGCAAGTATTTCTTATTTAATAAGACAAAGGCTGGGCTGGGCGCGGTGGCTCGAGCCTGTAATCCCAGCACTTTGGGAGGCTGAGGCGGCTGGATCACAAGGTCAGGAGTTCAAGACCAGACTGGCCAAGATGCTAAAACCCCGTCTCTACTAAAAGTACAAAAATTAGCTGGGCGTGGTGGCACGTGCCTGTAATCCTAGGTACTTGGGAGGCTGAGGCAGGGAATTGCTTGAACCTGGGAGGTGGAGGTTGCAGTGATCCAAGATTGTGCCACTGCACTCCAGCCTGGACAACAGAGCAAGACTCTGTCTCAAAAAAAAAAAAAAAAAAAAAAAAAAGACTTGGCTATTTTTAAAAGCAGATACATTTAAAAGGAAAAATTATTATACATCTGAAATGAGATCAATACTACTTTATTTGTTTAAACATTTCTACTCTAGAGTATTTTGAAAGAAAATGTAGATTCTCCCTAAAGCACAGTTCTAATCAGTTGATATGAATAACATACAGTATGTGGGAATATACTATTCTTGCAGCTTATCATTAAAAATATGTTTATATTTGTATACATGTATTTATAATTACACACACACACACACACACACACACACACACACGGGTTCTATAAAGTGCAAAGCCTCTCTGAGGTCCATAGCTTCTTACATATCTCATTTAATTTCTCTACCTAAAACTTCTTGAACTGTTCCAGTTAGAACAGTTATTCCCCATTTTGGGTTTACAATGTCTTGGACTCCTTAAATATGGGTTTTAAAAAATAGATAATTGTATAATTAATACAATTGAGTCCCAGCTGAGTGCACTCCCACACTTCCCTGAAATTGCCCTTGGCGCTTAGTATACTTTTCACTAGTTTGACACAGTTCAGTGATACCAACCAAGCTAAAAGATTGTTCAATTGCCTTACTACTGTGGTAAGTTCTTCTCACTGGTGTTGGAGATGGCTGCACATTTGGCTATTCCCGTTCATCTTGAAGTTGCCTGTATTTTCGGCCATGCACAGTTTTGTCAATTTTAGCCCTCTTACCCCAAATTTTCTTCCTTTACTGTAATTCCATATTATATTTTCATTTATCCAAAAATGTACCTTTATTGTTTACGACATCCCAGGCACTGGCCTAGGTCCTGAAGCAGGAGGAATAAAGTGTAGTGCATGATTTCAAGGAGCCTGTAGTTGAAGAAGCAGGTGTGTTCTGTGTGTTTTAGGCTGGAGGAGGAATTCTTAGGGTTTCCCTAGGCTGGAGGAGGAATTCTTAGGGTTTCCCAAGAGTGTGGACCTCATTCCCCCTGTTCTTTAAATGTTAATAGATGCTGATGTTGACAATGTTCATGACAAGGAAAGATGGTTGGCATACACATCTGTCCCTCTCCCACCATTAGAATTGCATGTCTTCTCAAATAAAAATACAGAACACTCATTGAGACATACTTATACTAAAAAGTCATTTACTGTTTTTATGAAATTCAGATTTAACTGGGTGTCTTTATTTTTTCTGGCAACCCTATCTGCCATGCAAGCTCTCATTGACCTCTCAGAACAGAGCTCAGACGTGACATCCCCTGCAGAAAGCCACTCCTCTGCTACTTTTCCACCTCCTGCAGAGTTTCATTTGATTGCATTTCTCTATGCTGGCTTTACATGTGCACATACCCGTAACAACTGTGCACGCCAAAGAGGGCACCTGTCATACTAAAACAAAATAGTACTCACACATACAAACATACACACATTTGTACACTCACATATAATCACTCTGATTAGAAGCATTATCAAATGATCAGTCACTGGTCATACCTCTGTTCTGTAAAGCCGTGCCATCTGAATGTATCTCAAAATATAATCAGAAAATTGAAAACAGTGACAGTGTAAGGAAACATTTTGACTCCTAAATTTGGCATATGACTGCTGATGACTGCTCAGTCTGTCATCAGCAGGCTATGCACTGACATGCTAACATGGTTTCCATTATATCTGTTCTTATTTCCCTGGCATGGCTTGAGATTGCTTATACATGTTCAGGCTTTCCTCAGAGGGAGGGCTGGTTAGCAGGGGCTGCTCTGTTCATGGAATTGTGTGGTGTCTCTGTGGATTATGAGGTTAACTGTATTGGACAAGGCACAATTTGACAAAATGGAGATGAGAACAAAATGGAGATGAGACTTTTTTTTTTTTAGACAGAGTCTTGCTTTGTTGCCCAGCCTAGAGTGCAGTGGTGAGATCTCAGATCTCGGTTCACTGCAACCTCTGCCTCCCGGGTTCAAGAGATTCTCCTGCCTCAGCCTCCCCAGTAGCTGGAATTACAGATGCACACTGCCATACCCATCTAACTTTTATATTTTTAGTAGAGATGGGGTTTCAACACATTGGCCAGGCTGGTCTTGAACTCCTGACTTTTTGATCCGCCTGCCTCCGTCTCCCAAAGTGCTGGGATTACAGGGGTGAGCCACCGCACCTGGCCTGAGACATTTCAGTCTAGACAAGATAAATGTGATTCAGCTGAGGGGCATTTGTCATCTATAGATAAGATTTATTGCTTTCCATGAAAAGACAAGTTTTGAATCAGGACAAGAGTAACACACCATCCACGTTACTCAATCCTTGAATGTAAGTTTTTCCATTTGTAAGGTCATTAGGTGACTGAACCCAGTAGAGGGCCCAGGGAGGGGAAGGAAGCCTTGTGTCCAGGCCTAGCAGTACTTCCCATGGGGCCTGCAGAGGATGGTCACCACAGTGTTGTGTGCAGTGATTTTATCCTCAGAGCAACCCAGT